TCCCAACACCAAATCGTTATTTTTAACACCTCGACACGTGTTTCGATCACCAAGTGATCATCTTCAAAGAGGAAGATTAAAAGTTTTAATCTTCCTCTTCAACACCAAATCGTTATTTTTAACACCTCGACACGTGTTTCGATCACCAAGTGATCATCTTCAAAGAGGAAGATTAAAACTAAAAATAACGATTTGGTGTTGGGGAAAAAACTCCAGTAATATTCATTACTACACCAAAGGTTCCAAACAGTGCATCATAAGAACACAAGATCTATTAACTGAAACCACAAATGTGCGGCTGGCTCCTGTTGGTGACTCCATGCATTTGTATTTCTTTCTTTTGGTAACTGAGTATTGCTCATCCTTTTGTCTAATATGATGATATAATATGAATTGAAATCTGTAAAAGACCAAATGATATTGAAATGAATGGCTAAAAATAACGATTACATTGAGCAAAAAACCCTGAATTGAAATTATAATAAAATGAAGACTAACGAAGAATTGAACAATTAAAATGAAATGAAAACTAAAAGATTTCAAGCCAAATTACTTCACGACGTTTCAATTGTTAGTATCCACAATATTTTTCGGGTGATGACTGGATAAGTCACCGTAAGTTCAACGTTTTAATTTCAGCTTTTTATATAAAGAAAGTTACTTCCGAAGAATCTCCTAAACGAAAAACGTTTCAATCCCAAACGTTGGTATGGAATTGAAACAGATATGATTCACAAGGATAAAAGTATCCACTTACAAGAAACTGATCTTTTCTGAAAGTATTCCTGTGTCAATTTGAAATGAAGTCCAATTTCTGGGATTCGATTAACTCATACGAATGTGTGTAGATTTGTCTCTTCAGGTCTTGAAATTTTATCCGGTTTTGATGAAACTACGAAACTACGAAGTACACTGTTGAGAATGACAGTGTTCCTATATGAGTGAAATTTGACATCACATATCCAATGATCGATATCCTTTTCAATTTCATAACGAATATACGTAGTACAAACTGAATGGGAGAAAGTGATTTTCATGTGATTCAATGTTGATATAAAAGTAGCTTTGTCGAAAGGGTTTTTTCTTCCATTCTGTATCTGAAAGAAATGTCTATGTACCTAATGTACCTATATGCTGCTAAGAAGTTTTTATTGTAGTTATTTTTTTTTCCTTTTTCCCTGAAGGTTTCCCACGTAATTTTTTTCAATGATGGAGAAGTGGGAATCAATAAGACTTTCATCCTAAAATATTACTCTCCCCTAAAAATAGTCCCTTCCCAATTTATAAAACATTCCTATGGCTAGAAATGAATTAAATAACCTTGTGAGTGAGTATACCGACTAATATTTTGATAAGAGCATATTTAACTCTTCTGATGGCATGAAGGCGTAATCTTATAAAAAAATAGTGATTCGCCTTGTAAGTGATGTTATCTTAAACGGTGACTAGAAACTTCAAAGGACACCATTGATTATGATGGTGTTCCATGTAAGTGGCACTCTATATCGATACTCTTTTAAATATTATATTGTACAGCGTTCCTATGAATAATACCTGTATCAATTTCATAATGGATTCATGTAGTACAAACTGAATAGGACAAGTGATTTTTGTGTAATTCAACGTTAATATGAAATCAATTGTTTCGAAAGGACTTTCTTCTTTCGTGTACTTCGATGTTCATATGGAAGTAATTGCTTCGAAAGGACTTTATTTAAGGACTTTTTTATGTGGTCCAATGTTCATGTGAAAGTAGTCAACAGAGTGGTTTGGATAGCGTCTACAGAGTTCGAAGAGAAAATCTCGAATTTTTATCCGTTTTTATCCTCTTTTCGGACGTTATTCGTCTCGCCAGGAGCTGAAAACTCCACGACAAATTATTATTAATTATTAATCATTAGTTAATTAATCATTAATTTATTAATTATTATTAATAATTAATTATTATTTGATATTTAAACAATCATCTTGACAGAGTGAT